AACCACCCCAAACCATCCCAAACCCTAAAACCCTAAACCCCAAACCCCAAACCCTAAAACCCTAAACCTTAAACCCTAAAACCCTAAACCCCAAACCCTAAAACCCTAAACCTTAAACCCTAAACCCCTTAAGCCCCAAACCCTAAAACCCTAAACCCTAAAACCCTAAACCTTAAACCCTAAACCCTAAACCCCTTAAACCCTAAACCCCAAACCCTAAAAAAAAAAAACCTAAACCCTAAATTAAACCCCTAGAACCCTAAAACCCTAAAGCGATCCGAGGCCTTGATCCTCTCGCCTTGCACCACGAACTCCACGTCGCTGCCGGCACTTTTCTCCAAGAAGCGGAGCATGTCGGAGCCTTCAACAGGTTACGTTTTGGGTTTAGGGTTTGGGGGTTTAGGGGTTTTGGGTTTAGGGTTTAGCAATTTGTTTGGGGTTTGGGGTTTAGCTAGTCTTTTTGGGTTTGGGGGTTTAGGGTTTAGGGATTAGCTAGTTTTTTGGGGTTTAGGGTTTAGGGTTTAGCTAGTCTTTTAGGGTTTTCGGTTTAGGGCTTAGCCAGTTTATTGGGGTTTAGGGTTTAGCTAGTTTTTTGGGGTTTAGGGTTTAGCTAGTTTTTTTGGGGTTTAGGGTTTAGGGTTTAGGGTTTAGCTACTTTGGGGGGGGTTATGGTTTAAGGTTTAGCTACTTTTGGGGGTTGAGGGTTTAGCTAGTTTTTTGGAGGTTTGGGGCTTAGGGTTTAAGGTTTGGCTATCTTTTTGAGGGGGGGTTCCTTATAATAGCCCGTCTAGTATACCCCAAAGCCATATTCTATAGTAAGTACGGCCTCCATAACCCCTAAACCCGGAAACCCCTAAACCCCAACCTTAGCCACCTTTCATCATGTTACAGTAAACCCCAAAAAGGTTGGAAACCGGATGGAGGACACATAGTGCTGGGATTCCCTATAAATCACTCTGAAGGATTGAGGCTAAGTACGGCCTCGATAACCCGGAAACCCCTAAACCCTAAGCCCTAAACCCTAGACCCTAAACCCAAAGCCCCAAACCCTGAACCCTGAACCCT